AAAAAGGAACGACTATGGGGCCTCTGGGTAGACCCTAAGATGTTGCAGGCTAGGGAAATCTGTTTGCGACCCGATTCCAAGCCTAGAAGGCTGCTCTCCAAGCTGCGTGAGTTTCGGTTCCACCTCGGCAAGCACGAAATCAATGTAGAGGTCCAAACAGAGTAACTAGTGGCAGTATCCTTCTGTAACTTCTTTGTAGCACCTTCACAGGCATAGTCTAATACACCCCCCCCAATCTGATGTTCTTGTGATTAATGCCCTTAGATTGCAGTAGAAGCCCAAAAGTTGGAAAGCCAATAGCCTCAACCCCTAAGACTAACGTGTAGGGAATCCCAGCACTAACTGTCCTCATAAGATCCGGTTTCCAACTTTTTGGGGGTGTACTATACCTTAACCTACCAGAACCTACTTATTTGTAGGGTCCCTATAAATCCCATATTAGGGTTTTTAGTAAGAGCCTACAAAAAAGTGGGGTATGGTAGGTTAAGGTATCTACCTTCGGACTCTTCGAGCTTCCTCCTCACGCACGTCTTCTGCTTTGCGGGATGCTTGCAATCTGAAGGTTTATTCTGTGGTCTGCGGCAGTTAGAATGCAAACCCAAAAGGCCTGAACCCTACAGACCCTAACCCCTAAGCACCCTAAACCCTGTAGACCCTCAAGCCTGAACCCTAACCCCTCAGCCCTGAACCCTACAGACCTTGTGGCCTTGAGCAGATGTGCTAAGCCCTGCCACTTTCTCCGTTGTAGACTCGATCTTGCTGGACTCTAGATGGCCCCAGATGCTCGATCCTTCTCTCGACACTCCAAACCTCGCCGGATGCTAGGGTTTAGGGTTTAGGGTTTAGGGACCATCATGGGCCTATAGAATCCTATAGAGTGAATTGATCCAGCTAAAATTGAGCCCCTCACCACCGGATTTTGTCGGTGCGAGTTTCGCAGGCTGCCGGCCACGTCGTTCGCCCGAAGCGACAGAGGCAGATTTGCCAAGCATGGGGGCTTTGCTTGTGGGTTGATGCTACTGCTGTTTGTGGGTCCTGGGTTCGGGGCATGCGGGCTTTGCCCGCATGATCTGTCATGCTTCTGTCTTCCCGCTCCTCTCACAGCTTCGGAGATGATCTGTGGGCCGTGCTGCACAGTGAATCCACCCAAACTTCCAAGACTTGGACTGCCGTACCCAGCCTGTACGTAAAGTAAAGTACTCTACCTTGCATCCATCCTTGCACCCCGAAACTACATCCCGCTGAGGAAGACGAAGCAGGGTGGAGTCTTCGGTGAGAGATGCCAGCGTCCCAGACTGCTGGCAGATTGCAGGCGAAGAGTCCGAATCTCGCAGCAAAGCGCAGCCAGCCGAGGAACAATTACATAGTAGACCTTCCGATTTTCGGAAAATATGCGTTTTAGTTGTTTTCAATCATGCGTGCAAAATTTCTGTGAGCATATATATATATACACATAAGCACACTACATTCATTTAATTCCTTCACTGCTTCCTTCCTTTTTTCCTTCCCTCCGTCTCCCATTCGTCCATGCAAGCGTGCGCACTTACATATACCTAAGCCCTAGACATACTTGCTCACACGTTGTTATAGGGCACATTATGTAGGTAAGCAGGTGGGGCGGGCGTAGAGTTGATACAGATAGATCGATGCCTCCAGGTTGCTTGTCTCTGTTTCATCCCTTTTCTCGGTTTACATTCACTTGTTATTCATCCTCGTGGTCGTTATCAGCACCATCGTAAGCGGCAGGAAGATAATGTAATTCCGAGTCTTCACTGCTTATGCTTGCATACAAAGGTTGGCACGTACATTATGCATGCATGCATGCATGCATGCATGTGCGCAGTGCATGCATCCGTGCAATCATACGAGCAGAGGTGTGCTTGCATATCTACAGTAGACCTACGGGTACATGTACATGTGCGCGCATACTCGGGCGTGTATCTACTTGCACGTCAACATCAACGACGGCACACGCATGAGTAGCTACTTGATTTGAATACCTTCTCAATCCGTGCAATAGGGGCATCACCTCGCATGTTCCATGGAGCAGGGCCTGCCGCCTGTCTCCCAAGCAGCTTTCAAGCGCCATCGTCATGCTGCATTCCGAAGGCCAGTGGTCCAAGCAGCGGCTCAGGAAGGCGAAGCCCAGCGTCGCCCCCCCCCCCCTGCTCGCCATAGACCGCCATGCCCCAGCTCCATGACCTGACCGAAGTCCCTGCCGGCTGGCCCCTCGCGACCTTCCTCGACGCCTTCGTCAGGGTGGCTCCTTATCCTCCAAGTCGTGCTGATGCGACCCGAGCTCTTGAGGCGCTGAGCCGTCGGCTCGTGGAGTTGTGGGCCGCGCAGCCGACGGAGGCCGAGGCCTGGCTCGAGCGGTGCCGGGAGCGCTTCGCGAAAGAGCTCGCAGGCAAGGAGACGAGGCCGGAGGAGCTCCGCGAGGCGCTGCTCCGGCACGGGGCGGCCGAGTGGGGCAAGTACGGGCGCGGCGGCTGGCGCTTCTCCGAGGCCGGGCTCCTGCAAAGAGAGCCGCGCGGCTCAGCAGCAGAGCAGGAGTGCCGGGCGGCTGCGTACCTGCAGACGGCCTACATCCGCGATCGCTGCCGGGAGCTCGCGGAGCGGCTCGGGCAGGCCGAGAGCCAGGAGACGGCGCGGAAGCGGCAGAAGCTCGAGGAGGAGACCCCCGAGCGCCGGCGCCTCGAAGCGGAGCTCCAACAATCGCAGGAGGAGGGCCGAGAGTTGCGTGATCGCCTGGCTGTGGCCGAGGCGGAGGTGTCCAGCGAGCTCCAAACTGCGCAGAACGAGAGCGCTGAGTGCAAGGAGCGGTGCGAGGAGTTTGCAAGCCGCACGGCAGATGCGGAGTCAGCCTTGACGGAGATGCGGCAGGAGCTCGGGCAGCTGCAGGAGGAGCACAGCAAGTGCCAAGAGCGCTGTGAGGAGCTCCTGACTCGGTTGGAGGCAGAAGCTTCCCAGCATGCCAAAACCAAGGAGCGTGTCTCACAGGCCGAATCCGCTGCTGTGGAAGGGAGGGTGGAGGTGCAGCGGCTGCAAGAACTCCAAGCTGCGCAGCGAGAGAGTGCCAAGAGCAAGACACGGAGCGCCGCTGTGGGGTCAGCGACAGCAGAGATGCAGAAGGAGCTCCGGCATATGCAGGAGGAGCATGGCAATTGCCAGGAGCCTTGTCAGGAGCTTGCGAATCGTTTGCAGGCTGCAGAGGTTGAGGATGCTGAGACCAAGAGATATTTGACGCACGATGCCACTGCAAAGAAGGTGCAACCGCAGCAGCCGCAAGTCCAGAGCTGCAGCTGCCAGGCACGCTGCTTCCCTTTTTCGTCAGAAGAGGGAAGCAAAGCTGAGCTGCAGCTGGAGAAGGCAGTTCTACAGGACAGGTGTGAGCAGCTCAGGCAGCAGCTTGCCAAAGCAGAGTCGAAGCTGGATCTCCTGCCAGCTTTGCACGAAGAGATCGGCATGTACAAGGAGCGCCTTCGTGGGCTGGAGCGCCCGGTTGTTGAGACCAAGAGGAACCAGCGTTTGTGTGGCGCCATCTCGGGTCGTCCCTCCATGAGCCATCCCGGCCCAGCTCGCAGCCATGTAGCCTTCGGTGATCAGGAGTCGGAGCTTGCCGAGCAGCTGGGGTACAGCCTTGTGGACGAAGATGTCGCCTCCGTCCTGAGTGCGTCCTCCGGCTACGTGGTGAAGGAGAACTGCTTCATGTTGGATGCCATCTTCAAGAGCCGCATGGACTTCTTCCGCGAGGGGAGGGACCTCCAGAAAGGTTCGCAGGTCCTGGCTGGCGATGGCAAGACCGTTCTGGAAGTGGTCGAGATCTCGAAGGAAGGGCAGGCGACGGAAGTGGTCGATTTGCAGGCGGGCGCTGCAACATTGCGGGTGACCCCGGACCATCCCGTGCAGGTCCCCGACGAAGGTGGCGAGGCGGGCCGGCACCTTTACATGCCGGCGGGCAAGCTAAAGGCGGGCGACTTCGTGATGCTCGACTCGGGGGAGCCGGTTGCACTCACCAGTGCAGAGACCCAGCCCGCGGAGTGCAAGGTCTTGAAGATCGTCTTCAAGCCGGACTTGCCTGTGGCCGTGTTCTCCAGCCCATCCTGCATCCTGAGCAAGGGGCACAAGAAGAAGTCGCAGGTGCGCCGTGCTGGCGGCGGAAAAGGTAAGGAGGCGGCAGATCCGATGGATGGAGGAGCCTCGATTCCGGACACGGCGGCCGGGGAGTATATGGACTGAGCCTACACATTGTTCTATACCGCACCAGCATGGCTCGACGTACCGAAGCTGCGCTGAGAGCCCACGAATTCGCAGAGTTCCGCAACTCCTTCAAGCAGCTCGGTGCACGGCCGCCTGGCCAGTGCAAAACACAGCTGCTTGAGCACGTCGTTGCCTTAGCATGTCGGAGTGCAGCGCACGCCCTCTAAGCTTTCATCGCCATCATACAGCGGGCATTAGTACCGGAGTACGGTTTAGAGGCGACATACGGGGCAAGTCTCCATGATGCGACCCGTACTTCCACAACAGCTCTCGGACCTGACGTGGGAACGAACGCAGGTCGGACGTAAGCTTGGATTCGCAGTGCCTGCACCGCTTCACTTTTTCAAGCTGTCGCTGTGGCCGGGCTCGAACTTTTGGTCTTCCCTGCGCAGAAGACGGCAGGGTGCAGCTTCGGCATTCGCTAGGAAGGGCAGCCTCGTTGGTCGGGTGTCGGGGAGATTGAGTGAGGGGTTGTCGGAAGTAGAACAGAGCTATAATTTTTTGAGCATATCCTCGAAAGCAACTCAGCATTTGGGAAGAGTCGTGAAAAGGCCCCTTCTCGAGCTGTTGCCGAAATATGCAGTTGGAGCTGCGAAGGCTACATATCTCTTGCAAGACCTCCAATCTCGATGATCAGCGTTCGAGGCCAGGATTGCGAGAGAAAAGTGGAGCCCAAGCTGCGCAGCTGTCCGCAAAACCTCGCTTTGGAAGCACCTTCTCGTATGCATGTGCTCAAGAGTTATTCCGAATGTTCCAGAATCGCTGATCCCATCGACCACCGAGGCAACTGAACTGTGGGCATACCGATCATACCGATCCTGGCGCGCAGCCGCATTTTCTGGCTGCCGGTGAAGCCTCAGAGGGCTTAGGACATAGGATCGCGAGGTGAGGCTGGGGGGATTCACGGTTATTCAAGGTCTAAGTCTAAGACATACATGCATACATACATAATTACATCTATATATTATTATGATGTATTACATATATGATATAGATAGATAGATAGATAGATAGATAGATGGATAGATAGATAGACAGATAGGGAGAGACAGGGGAGAGAGGCTCTGTAAGAGTTTAATCTTAGGGCCGAAGAGTTCCAGCTCGATTTGTGGGATTGAATGCATTTTGCAATTTGCAGAGTCTTAAGTTTGGAGGTCTTGTGAGGCTTGCTTAGGGTTTAGGGTTTAGGGTGTAGGGTAGGATGGACGTTGGAAGGCAGCACTCCTCTTGCGATCTAGCTATGACCTCGATGCATGCGAGAGCTTTCAAAAGTGTGTCGACGCTTCGCGGCTTGGGATCAAACAGGAGCGATATGCTCCTGCCGCGCGCTCCCGGCAAATCCCTAGGAACCTCGCCCCTTATATGAGTGGAAAAGACTGAAAGGGACTCGACCTTGAGATGCCTAGCGTCGGAAACCTTTCGTGGGGATTCTACGGGCCTCGGCCCCCACCTCCAGTCGGGATGAGATCACGTACCATAGGAGCTACAACAAGTATAGTACTAGGTGTAGTGGTGACGTAGTCCTTATAATTAATACATTGTATGTTCCCTCAAGCTACTTCTTTCTTGTAGACGTTCCGATATCACCCTGAACCGTATCAGTTCTATAGACTTCTGGAGCTGTTGATCTGCCATCGCTTCATTCTGGACGTAGTTCCGCGCGCGAAAGACGCTGGCTGTCAACGGTTCCGGGCTTAGGGTGGCAGTGTGTTGCAGAAGTTCGACAGCCGCTAAACACCCGTCTGCTTGAGGCTCAATTCCAGGCCGAAGGCGGATGTGCAACGATTTGTGCGACATTGACGAGACCCACATAGGGCCCCGCGTCGACGAAGTCGACTAGAAACCCTACAGTGCCGGCGTCCTTGCAGAGCCTCCTGTGCCCTTTCCCCAGCTACGACGATCCCAAACAGCATCCCTGGAACCAGGGGATCCCTCGAAGTTCAAGCCGGCGAACACCGATATAGAAGCCATTGGAGCCTTCACTTGCTCTGAACAAGGCCCTCCTCGTCTCCGAACCCCAAGTCCCACTCGACATCGTTACAAAAAATTCAGAGGTGTCAAAGCCGACACGGTAGGCTTTCAAGCTTGAAACGCGTGGTACCCCATGATTCTGGGCGCCCAGCGCGGGCGTGCGGTGCTGTGGCACGGCTGCCGCCGCTTTGGGAAGGCTGCGTTAAGTTGGGTTTCCTTGCCTCCGCTCGGGCTTTTCTATGCATGGCGTTGAGGGGTTTGGGGTTTCAACGATTGTAGTTTGCCAGGGGTTCACTAGACTGGTAAACGCCTTAAGATGTATTTGGATGTTGGATTTCAATTCATGTGGAGTTTAAGATTCGCACGGCTGGTTTCATGGTATTCAGGGTGCAGTCAGGGGTCCTTAAGGGAGCATACACAAGTCTAGTCGGTGATAGACGGTTGGTGTATGTGCTTTGGGTTGGAGCAGGCTCGCATTATGATGCTTTACGTAATTGCTTTCAGGGCCGTTCCAGGTATTATTGCAGTTCAGGGGTCCATGTGGTGCACTAGGGTGTGGTTGCGACTTTATCGTTTCTGCTGCCGACCAACTCTTTCCAGCTTCGGCATTCCTGGCCGATTGTACCACTTTCGCCACTTCGGCGACAACCAGTGCTTTTACCAACCGCTGTTGCTAAACCTGCTGCGACTTACTACTGCTGCCTCAGCGGGTGGCTGGTGGTGCTGCTGCGCTGCCCACGGCTTGTGCCGGTGCTTTCACGAGACGTTCCCCGTTTGTCTTCTCTTTCTATTTGAGGCTCTTGCCATTGGCTCCGACTCGCGATTAGTTCGAGGGATGCACAGGGGCAAAGACCGAAGCTCCAAGACTTATTAAGCCCTGGAATGATAACGCCAGAAAACCTCTGAACCTTGAAACCTTGAAACCCCCTATATAAACCCTAAACCTTGAAGCCCCCGACCCTAAACCCTAAACCCTAAACCCTAAACCCTAAACCCTAAACCCTAAACCCCTTTGTCCTAAACCCTAAACCCTCAACCCTGAAGCCCCAAACCCAAACCTCAACCCTAAGCCCCAAACCCCATGAGGCTGCGAAAGCCCCGCCCACTGTGATCCCCGGCAGCCACGAGGCTGGCAGGGTGCAGGGTTTAGGGTTTAGGGTGTAGGGTTTAGGGTAGAGAGGTTGGGGATGAGTGCTATTTTTGTTTAGGGGTTTCAGGGGGTTTAGGGGGTTTAGGGGGTTTAAGGTTTGGGGAGGTTAGGGAAGGCTTTCTGCTTTTGAGATCATTGCAGTTGTTTCATGCGATGACTATACTACATATTACACATCTGTAACCCTGTCGGTGACAGTCTGATTCGAATTCCTCTTCGGACTATGACTGATATAGAGTTGCTCTTCTAAGTTATGGTCGTGCAAAGGGGTTGCCTCCTGATCAGAATGAACGTCCAAGCCGAGACCGCTGGTTTCGTATTTCTCGCTTCGAATTTCAGAGTTTAAACTCCTGGAAAGCGAGGAAAACTACCCGAACCCCTAAAGAGTAGGCAAAGCAATGGCCTCAACAACCTACACAAGGGGATTGTTCTACATAACTTTTGAGGTCCAGGTTTAAGCTGTCCTGGGGATCAGATGCAAGACAATTTTTCTCATCCGTATGATGGTCATGCATTGTAGATGTCTGGCTTAGCGCCGTAACCCGCATGAGTAGAACTGTTAATTGATGCTTGCTACCGCTCCTACACTTTCACATACAAATGTCCATTTTCTAGCTTTGTTGCTTATCCACCCCCCCCTAAACCCTAAACCCNNCCCCCCCCCCCTTGGCAAGGCACTCAGCTTCCTGCAAGGGCACACTTCGCCGAAGGACCTTCGGTGGAGGCCGCAGGGCCCCTGGGACTTCCTCTTTGGAGGCTCCGCTCTGCCGGCCGGGCACGAACCAACGGCTCTGGACTTCGGAGGGCAGGCGGATCTTCGGAGTTCTGCAAGAGGGACTTCTAGTAGGGACCGGAACGGTGATGCAGACAGCCAGCAC